CCTAACGGGTAACCGGGGCTCCGGCTCGACGTGCAGGAGAAGGAACGGGGTGGTTTTTAGTCAGTAAGAGTCTGACACTCCCTCCCGCCTCACCCAGGCGGGAGCAGTCAATCGATGATTTTCCCCCCTTAAAAAAAAGGTATGTATAATGTTAAATTTGAATATTGATTTCTTATCTAAGTCGGTATTGGTACTTAATTTTTTATGTTCTTGTAGTTTGTACCTAGGTATTGTTTCAATTCTTGCATGATGCAAACCAAGATACGAAAGAGGTAAGAAATATTGCAAACGGCACATAGAATTAAAATTGACATATCTATTACGTATATACGTGTTTCTTTTTTATTTATTGTATTTAATAAATCATTTTCTAATTACGTACAAGCTCTTGGCGAACACCGATAATAGAAACTTAAGATGGTAATAACTTAGTATTTTATATCGCATCTTTCTCAATAGATACTTATCGATCTTTTCTTACATTTTCTATGTATGTAGCCATAACAAATCGGAAAAAGATATTAATATAAATTAATCATTGACCCATTATCATTTCTAAATTGATTTAAATTAAATGTGTCGGGTCAGGTTGGGGTCATTGGCATTCGTTTACTTATCTTTAAAAAAATGTTTATTGTAAACTCATTGTTTATGCTTGCTTTTTGTGTCAGTCAGGCAGTAAAAACTATTTTTTTTTTAGTTTTTTTTTTCTTAATGCGCATGAAAATCATGGTATAGACATGTGACATACAGTATAGATTATATTTATCGCTTTGTTGTGGATAGTAATGATGAATTGGCGTTTGGACAAACTCAAAGATGAAGATTATTTTAATTGACTGTAGTGTGATACCGAGATAATGCGAATAATTGAAAAAATTAGTCAGAACATAACTAGTTACAATAGACATAGTTACATTTGACTGCACAGTTGGTGCGATGGTTGGGCAACCGGCTGCTGCGCATTGTCGCGGGTTCGATTCCCGCACGGAACAACTCTTTGTGTGATCCACAAATTGTTATTACGGGTCTGGGCGTCATGTAGGTATATGTGAACTTGTATGTTTGCTGTGCAGCTATGCCATCCATTTCCCCAAACTGGTTCCCTATTAGATAGTCTTTGGTAAAACAAAGATAATTAACAAATTTTTCACCTTATACTTTACCGTAACAAGGTAAGTAGCAATGTATTTCTACCTTAAGTATATATTTAATTTTTTTGGGTACGATGAAACTTGGAATAAAAGCGAATAAAATACCAAAATAACATTAAATAAAACCAACAATAAAACCAGTGTCCCAGTGCATTCATACAATTGAATGACAGACAGATAATATCATTCAATTGCATTAACTGTCATTATTGGCGCGAACGGTTACAATATGGCGGATGTTACATGTGATGTGGTACCTCTAGCTCTGCGCTCTGCAGTCACATGATAGGATTGTAAACAAGTAAAGTGATACACAATTGCACAAGGAACAGTGCATTAGTTTACCGTATCGTGTGTCCATTGTGTGTAAAATGTTGCGTGTTTGAGTGAAGTATGAAATTGCGGGTAATATAATGAATCTTTTTACACCCACTGTCTCCTTGGGTGTAAGCAATAGTCGATTACATATTTGTAATAATTTTTAACAGAGACTGGGGAACAGCATCGTCTGATAAACGCAAACCTTTTAAATTATGATCTCCAACTCCTGCCAAGCTTGATAGGACTAGTAACCTCCACAGAACATATAAAGAAGGACCTATATGTTCTGTGGTAACCTCTTCTATGTAGAGGAGGCTGGAGGTTTTTAATCCAGCGACGTACTGTCATAACTTTATAAGCTGTTAATGTGTCGATGTTGTATAATATTTAAGTAACTGGATCGGTATCTATCTGCCATAACCACGAAGTTTACAATTTAGTTTCACTTTCTATCTCAGTGAAAGAGGAAACGACATAGAAAATAAACTATTAGATAAGTTTCACTTGCGTACCAATCACTACGAAGCAATCAAGCCCTGCTGTTTTTTTTTATAAATATCTTGTTTAAACCAGTTTTGGGTAAATCTTTCGTAATTTCTCTATAAGTACTCGTTATCAGATTATTCGACCTTTGATTATAGGGATTTCGAAATACCCATAGGTAGATAGATAGACAGACATGTCTACAGTAGATAGGTATCTATACAGGGAGAACCTTATTGTTATATTTTGAAAGAAATACTACGTAAAAACCTTATGTTTTCGGAAGGATTCTCTATTTCCAATTAAGTACCAATTTTTAGTAAAATTACTAAGGTTGCTGTCAAAGATCGGGCTCAATAGTTCAAGATCGTCAATGCCAGTATACTTATTCTTGCGACTCTCTACAACTAAAGTATATTAATCTAGGCCATTTTCTTGTTAACTATAAACAGTCCCACCTAGTCGTGGCGTCAGTTACTGATGTTAAGGCGTATTCATTTCTTACCATGGACTTTTTTACACAGATATACGAAATACGACCTCCCAATAGGCGTCAAATTAGCGGATAAATTATTATGACCCTATTCAGAAAGAATTCTTTTTACCTGAGAAAAAAAAAACAATTCAGGATTATGAGGAAGATCCACCGAGAACTTGATTGGATTGCATCTTTATCTTCTCTTTGTGACTCAATCGAAATAGTTTTTGTGGTAATCCTACTATCCTACTATATCTACTATCCATACTGTAATTATGTCGCGGAGAAACTAACGAGTTACCGGGGCTCCTGCTCGACGTGCAGGAGAAGGAACGGGGTGGTATTTCCTGTCTCTCTTTGCTGTTAGTTTATTCTCCGTAGCTTATTTTTTGCAGATTTTCTACTTAAACTCTAAGATTGACTAGTAGAGAATGCCATATGGCATTAAGTTCGCCTTATATGCCATGATCAAATTGTGTACATCATGAAGACTAAATAAATAAAAAAATAACACATAGGCTACTTATTATCCGGGAACGCTGGCAAAAGCTAGTCTATGTATATTTAAAAAATAGTACCCCATGGATTTCCTCGTTTGCGCTAGCAGTTTGTCCGTTTGTTCTCATATGAATATGAACATGCGTTTAAATTGACACCGTTCCCTTCACTCGCTCCCGTTCCGTCCCCAACCACACGTAGTTACATTAGTCATTACCTGCATGTACAATTTTCATACGCTTATGTACCTACTATTTTTATCCCAAGACAAATGTCACCCATGACCTAGATATCGATACCAATATATTTAACCTTCACTGATTACTGATTTCTAATGAAGTGATAAGATAGGGACTGTCTTTGGTAATCGTTATATCAGTTGTAAATTACCTAATGTTTACATACCACCGTTTAGTATATAGGATCTTGAAACCAAATGTAATCATCATTAATCCTATCTTTATTTTAGGTAAAATGTTTCTTATGGGTGAAATAGGGTAGATGCCTAATTTTTATTTTAATGTCTGTCGCTAGATTGTTTTAAAACATTAGACACGCATTTTTTTATTTTGTTACAGAAACGAATACTTTCGACGATATATTGATTTGAAATGTCGCGTGACGTCACTTCTATGTATGTCCTTTTTATACGTAGAAATGACGTTTTAGCTCCTACTCCTAAACTTTGATTCGTTTTATCTAAGTATTGTTTTATTATACGACAAAATAAAAAAATACGTATCTAATATTTTTTTCATTACCTAACTTACGGAGTAATTCGATTTTTAATTTTCATACCCTGTCATCATCCCAATTATGTCAATAGAAAAATTATCTCGAGCAAGAGGAGATGCAAGAAGGAGGGAGATAATCCGTAATGACCCGTTGGATATAATATTGTTCTAAACATAATGTTCTTAAAGCAAATAAGGCCATGGCAAACCCGGCTGTGACCCACTTTGAACCTGCGTTAACAAAAGCATACGAGAATATGTTAACGACCTGGAGACATTTCGAAATAAGGTTTCAAGAATCATTAACCGGACTATTAGTCTTGTAGTCTCAAATGCAAGAGCAAGAATTCTTAGACTTAATTCCTGGTTCAGGATAAGGTCCAAGATACGGTAAAATGGGGTGAATAGGGATCGATACGCGAATAGGGACAAAAGAGGGGTAGATCGATACTATGAAGAATTTCCCAATATCTATTCACCCCTCTTCTGTCTCCATTCACCTCTTGATCCCTAGCAACCCCATTTTACGGTATTTGAAGACTCATCCGGGAATATAAGTTATGATCAGGGGCGTAACTATACAGTTCAGGGCCCGTGGTAAATTCATTTGAAAGACCCTCGTTCTTAATAAAAAATAGACAATTTTAGATGAAAACCTCTGAACGAGACCTCTTCCCGCTGGAGGCCCATTGCATTTTACCGATTTGCCACCCTGTACTTACTCCACTGGTTATGGCGATATGAAGTTACGTGGCGTGGAGACTCAACAACAAATAGAACTACTTGCTTGAACCAATGCGACCGTAAGACATTAATCAATGATCAATTGAAATCAATTTCGATATCAGACGATGTCAATGTGATTCTTATTCATTCATAGTTGAGTTGAGGATTTGAAACTAGCATAACATAACATAACATCACGCCTTTTATCACTGTACAATGTAACACCCACCTTTCACTATTTATGTTATGAGTCCCATGTAATACGGTATGAGCCTATTGCCATATACCGGGCACAATTCCAGACTCCGTGCTACTACTGAGAATTTTTTTTAAAACCCAATAATACTTTGCCCGACCCGGGAATCGAACCCAAGACCCCTTGGCCGGGTAAGTCGCACTTGCGACCACTCGGCGAACGAGGCAGTACTGAAACTAATATTTAACAAATAGGCATGCCCTATAGAATAGTAGGAAAATAAGAGACCAAATAAATGAGAACATTCTAGAGGTATATTAATCTATTTCTGAATAAAACAGACAAGATAATAAATAATAAGTTAATACTTAAAATCTAGGTAATTAAACTATTTATTTTTCTTTTTACAGTACATCGAGCGCTTTTTGAACGAGTCTGAACATGGTGTTGTGCTCTTCAGCTGGGGTTCATTGATCAAGACAGCAACTATACCAAAGTACAAAGAGGAGATCATCGTGAACGCCCTATCAAAGTTAAAGCAGAGAGTCATCTGGAAATACGAGAACAGTAACGAGGAAGGAACACTAAGCGGCAATATTTTGAAAGTCAAATGGATTCCTCAATATGAATTGCTTCGTGAGTACCTATAACATATAAGCCTTGTTGAGTAGATTTTTGAGTAGTTCTTTCTCGCTTCGATTTTGGCACAGAAGCGAGAGAAGGCTACTAAATATTCGCTACTCGACTAAAATACTAGCGCAGTACAGACTAAAATACAAATGAGGCTTTATATTATGTAGATAACTATTTAAACATTAATTAACCGAAAAACTATCGTTTTTTTTCTTCAATACATAGTATAAAACAAAGTCGCTTTCGCTGTATGTCCGTATGTATGCTTAGATCTTTAAAACTACGCAACGGATTTTGATGCGGTTTTTTTTAATAGATAGAATGATTCTTAAGGAAGGTTTGTATGTATATACATATTGCACCCGTGCGAAGCCGGGGCGGGTCGCTAGTCTCTTATATTATCGCGATTGCGGTTGCCGGATCCAAGACAGTTAACTATTCATGTCTGGGATGCGCCGGACTTCAGTTTCGTGGTTGTGTACTGTAGATTAGTGTCGATCCTGGCTTACAGGAGTTGCGCGGTTTTGGGACGTTGTGGCGGGATTGTATAAAAAAGATTAATTTTTATGGAGAAATTCTAGGAAGATGAACGAATCAGAAAACTTCTACTTATAGGGAAAAATACTGTTTGCTTATAGGGAAAAATGGCGCTGTTATTTTTGTTTAATTCCTACTGTACTGGTATATTTATCTATGATTTCTATGATCTAATAATTCGTAGAAGGAAGTAACTTAGACGAACAATGCGTTATTTTTAAATTAGAATAATGATATTCATCAACATCAAATCACGATAACTTGTGGTCAGCCATGATTATCCTGATCGTTATTATTAAATCTAAAAATTTAGACGACGCACTGTAATTAAATTCAAACCAAATATATGTAGGAAAATGAAAATACAAGTAGATAAGTTAAGTTAGGTACCTATAGAATATTTTTCGGTAAAAGCTTAAACTCGAATAAGTAAATTTCAAGTTTTAGTAAGTAAAATATGAATACGTAGGTACCTAGTGTAGAATTAGCTTGTTTAGTTGTTTCCATTGATATAAGTATATGTACCTATTTTGTCATTTTATAAACTATACTAGCTTCGCGACCACGACTTCGTACGCGCAATGTCGAAAAAAATTTAGGGCTGGACTACCCCCAACATTTAGGGAGATGAAAAATAGATATTGGCCGATTATCATAGATACCGGATAAGCACAAAAAATTTCATCAAAATCGGTCAAGCCGTTTCGGAGGAGTATGGTAACGAAAATTGTGACACGAGAATTTTATATATTAGATATTAGATACGGTTGGTGCGGTGGCTGGTAAACCGCCTGCCACGCAACGCGTCGCAGGTTCGATTCTCGCACGGAACAACTCTTTGTGTGATCCACAGATTGTTGTTCCGAGTCTAGGTGTCATGTGTATGTGAACTTGTATGTTTGTAAATGCACCCACGATACAGGAGAAAATCCTAATATAGGGCAACGTTTTTTTTTATAAGAAAAGAAAAAAATATAGTTACTTACTCAACTTATTGCACCGACCACGCTCTCACTGCATCACCTTTAGGAGTGGGAGGTAGTTACGTCATAACGTGGTACATTTTGTAGCACGCTGTGACGTTACGCGGCATTTTAAAACATTTAATTTTGTAATATATCATCAAAAGCATTTAATTTTGTGAGAAAAGAAAAAATACGTGTCTAATGTTGAATAATCTACCAGACGGACACAAAGAATAAAATTTAGGAAACTACCCTATTGTGTCTAAAGACAAGCTTAGTTAGGTGTCATCAACCAATCCTTTACACTCGATCTAATATACATTAAAAACAACTAAAAAATAATATTTTCCCCACAGAACATGAAAAAGTCATCGCCTTTATTGCCCACGGAGGGCTTTTGGGTATGACCGAGGCTATATCTGCCGGCAAACCGATGCTCATCGTGCCGTTCTATGGAGACCAGATGGTAAACGGCGCAGCGGCTACGACTATAGGCCTTGGGAAGGCCATTTCTTACGCCGATATGTCGGAGAAGTCCTTGCTAGAAGGATTGCAGAGTGTATTGAGTCCTGAGTAAGTAATCCATGAGTTTCTATTTATTTATGAACAGGTATAGACTGACATTATATGCACCATGCACCTCTGCTTACCGGAATCAGCAGACACGAACACGAGCTATTAAGTTCCAAAATCAAAGGCAATCTGTAGAGGTTCTCGACTATCCTGGGCATTGTTATTATTATTATTATTTTACACTTTATTGTACACCACAAAAACATACAAAGTTAAGTGTACCTCTACATAAAAAGAATGTGTACCTACAATGGGCGGTCTTATCGCAGAATGCGATTTCTTACAGACAACTTTTAGATGGAGCTATTTATTAATCCATAAGTATTTCTTGTCCCTACCTAGGTAGATAGGTAACTACATAAATAATTTAGGGCAGGGCTGTCCAAACTCTATACCCTCGCGGGCTAATTAAATTTCTTACAAAAGCTGGAGGTCCAGGAAACAAAATTCAGTTGTATAATGACTTTAAACCTTGTATTCTTTACTCACAGACTAAACTTGTATACAAATCAAACACCGAATCTTATTATTGTTATTGCACAACAGATGAAGATGTTGAGATTAAAAAAGGGTACCCTTCTAAAGGTGCCTAGCTTTTTTAGTCTTGTACCTAGGTAATAATTGAATATTATTGAAATGAATTAATGTCATCGTGCATAACAGTAAATGTAAATAGGGAAGTAGAATATATTGTATGTCAAAGATAGATTTATAAAATATGAAAATTTTAATTAAATATGACTTAGACTGATATGAAACGTGTAGTGAGCATTACAGCAATGGACTAGGTACATACCATTTTATGGAATAAGCCGGTAAACGAGCAGACAGGTCGCCTAATGTAAGCAATCAGCGCCGCCTATGGACACCTAGAATACCTACCAGAGGATTTTGAGGATTGTTAGGGATTCAGGGATTGGGCAGATACCTAGCATATTATCTACCTATTAAGAAACATATCTCATTTTATCAACTACCTTTAGTTTTCAGTTTCATTTCAGTCTAGTTAGACAGTAAAACAAATATTACACCGTTTCGAATAGTAGGTACCTACTTCTACTAGATATGGTATAAAAACAAAAACGCCAAATGGCACAAATGTTTTAAAATATTTTGGCTTTAAGAATAGGTATATCGCAAAGAAAATGATAAATGCTGTCCATTAGGCATTAACTATGTCGGATAAATGTGAACACTGCAATATAAGTAACTAGGTTTATAATTTATTTGTTCTTATTAGAACAAATAAATTGTAATCATGACATCCGGTCAAATTAAATACTTTTTTGAAACCTCAACGATGTATGGTGAGCACTGAAATGACTTTGTATGAGCGTTCACTTTTCTGACGTCTCATTTGAAACAAACTAGAAAATAAAGATAGGTTTTACGTTAGCATTACCTAAGTGTGCAAATAGCTTCATTTCCATATTTATTAGTATGTAATAAATATATTATATCGTTATTGCGTCAGATCATAAGCCGTGAATAGCATTAGAGCTACGTTTGTGTTTGGAATTAAAATGCATTTGTTCCCATTTATCAAAGTAATAGTTCATAATCAACTTAGATATGTGGGTAGGACCAGTAGACTAGTGAGGATTTGATTTAGATTCTTGATATATCTAAAGAGGTATCCAAAGAAAAACAATATTACTTATTTATTTATTTACTATGATAGTAGGTACATTCTTATGATTTAATTATGATTTCTTATTGATATTTACTTTTAAATTCGCATCGATTACTGTCGATATAGTAACAAAATGTAATTATTACAATGACAAAATGTAGGATGAGAGCAAAGTAGTAGTTATCTAGTAAATGCACGCAACTTACGCAAAGAAGTAATTCATTTTCTAGTAGGCTCACATAGTTCATGAAATTTAATGACAATTATGTCTGGGAATATGGAAACAATCTATTTTATCTAACGATTGTTCTATTTTACTTTGTTACAAATGGCTATATGCCAGCCACCGTTACATAATGAGGTGTTAGTGCTCTTTAAAATAGGCAATCTATTTAGGGTTCACTGACAATTAATCATAGGCTTTAAAAAGACGATAATTAAACCTCGGCTTAAAAATTTATCAAAGTTTATTATGATTGGTATTTATTATTAAATTTAATTTTATATGATGAGGTTTGATGTACTAATACTACTTAGTTTATAAGTTGTAGGTAGATGTCTTTACTAACCATATGGATTGTATTATTTGAATAAATAAATTAATTAAATTATTACCAACCTAATCACTGCATTGTCTTAAAACTTCTATAGGTATTTGTTTGTTGTAGGAGTTAGTATATTTAAGGTTTTAAAAGATAGCTATTTTAATAGTGAAAAGTACAAGGATTTATCTACTTAATTCATAATTAACAAAAATAGACGCATCTAGAAGGAATTATGTTACTTATAATTTATTAACATAATAAATTGTTACAAGTACCTATAATAAATTGTTATGATTAATGTTTCGGTAACCGTAAATATAACTGTTAACGATTTTAAGACAATTAAAAAAATACAGTAAAATGGTAGTAAAGAAATAGAATATATGTAAACAATGATATTGACGTCATAACAACGTGACTACATATTTATATAACTGTAACTATTTTTCAGCCTTGTCAGTCACCATGTAGCGGGATAGTATTGCGACGAATTTTATCACGTTTTACTAATAATATAAGATTTATTTTAAAGCTATGACAGTGAAATAATACTTTAAAATATTAAATGTCCATTGTAAGCAGATATACTATCTACATAGAAATATCTAAATACTACTTGTTTAATTTTTGTAAACAATTTAAAACACGATAAATTGCACATTTTTATGGAATGTAAAGTTACTAATCTTTCAGTTGAAAGTACCTATTCAATGGTCGATGGTAATTAGGTATATCACATTAAGAAAATAATTTATTTTAGTAGCAGTTAAACTATAGCATTCACTTTATATTTCCAGAATGCGGATGAGCGCGCGTCGAGCTTCGAAGATTTGGCAAGACAGGATAGCAGATCCCTTGGACACCGCTGTATACTGGGTCGAGAGGGTCATACGATGGGGGCACCAGGATCCTTTGCACTCCACTTCCAAGGATATGGGTTTCATAGAGTATAACTTATTAGATGTAGCAGCTGTGATCTTACTTAGTTTCGTATTTTTAATTCTAGTTCTAAGGATAGTATTGAACCAAATTCTACGGCTTTTCGGAGCCGGTACGAGTAAGAAGGAGAAGTTGCATTAGGTGCATAGTTTTAGTGCTATTATTTGGCTCGATTTCAAGTGCAATGAAACGAGTCTATCTATCTATGAAACCAACCTCGGTTTCTCAGGAAATGCACTATTTCTAAGAACTAGCTCAATGTAAAATTTATTTTATGTAGATAATGTTTTCTAACAAAGTTCCTCTGTTAAAATAAATCTATGGATGTGCCTAGGAATGTGCCTGCCTACTTAGTGTAGTTATTTATATCATAGGCATTAAGCAATCCGGTCAAAACTCATTGAGCTCAAATAAATTAGTGTCGAGTTCAATTAAAACCAGTGTTCAATTGTGAAATCATGATAGGTATTAGGTAGGTACTATTAAACTAAACCGTCAAATACGCAGCACCTAGTATGATACGAATAACCCAAATAAACTGGGTAAGAGTATTTTTTTATGAATAAAGATAGAACTATTTATTTACCCTGCATGCGCACCAATATGCCAACAAATACATACCTACGTATAAAAATAAAAATCTAAAACTAAGTGTCAAAAAGAATACAAAAAAATGTATGTCCTCAAATGATTCGTATTATACCTGTCCAATTTACAAATGCCTAGTGTAATTAACAAAAATTATGTATAGAAAATAGACATTAACGGAACTAAAACCAATATCGAGGTATCGTTTTTAGTATATTATATTGTTACCTAAGTAGTTAAAATGCAATGCAGGTACTAGATTTGGATTTTATTTTAGTGAGCCAAATAATTTTATGTTAGCTGTGACAGTCAGCAGGGTTTAGTGTCTAGTTTTAATAAATCAAATACCAATTAATATTCAATGTAATCATTTATTATTTATTGCTCTAAAATATTTTCAACCGACTTTCCAAAAAGGAGGAGGTTCTCAATTCGTATGTATATTTTTTTGTTAAGTTTATTGTAGACCGGAAACTTCACTTTTTTTATTTATACATTTTGCCCCACACGACAAAGTTGTTGCGTGCAGTTGTGGGTCAATTTGTTTTCGAATTTAATGCTCCGAAATATTAATAAAAAAAATAATTATATCTATTAATTGTGTACATTTATAAAAACTATTATTTTATGGACAATAAAACATACTTTATATAATACATTTGCCTATTTGTTTTATTTTACAAATGGATTGGAGACTTTAAAATAAAAATAAGTACAGATTTTTTTAAATAATAGATATTTAATCCTTTTATAAACGCAGTTAACAGCTTCCATTAATTGTATACATTCCACTATGAGTATGGAAAATATTGTAACAGTAACATAAATAAAATAGGATTTGTAGTGATGTAAGAAAAATATTTCTATTAATATTCTTTACAAAGCAAATTAAGCAAAAGGCCTTATTACCCTGGACTAGAATTTGAATTAAATTATGTAATTATTTCTTCTCAGTTTTAAGAATAAAATTATCGAATTAAAAATCAGCTTTAAAAAAAATTCAGGAATAAAAATAATATTCGTTAGTTGTAAAATAAAAACTGTATTTCAATTGCTAAAAGTCTCTTTTGAAGTAAATACAAGCATTCATAAATCTATGCAGACACTAGTACCAATGAGGAGTACCGTTTTTTACCACCAGATGGCTCTAATATAGAGCCGAGGTCTGTCCGTCTATTAAATAAATAATTAGTGTCAAAACCATTGGACATTCAATCTTTGATACCTTTTTTTTTAAGGGGGGAAAATCATCGAATGACTGCTCCCGCCTGGGTGAGGCGGGAGGGAGTGTCAGGCTCTTACTGACTAAAAACCACCCCAGTCTTTCTCCTGCACGTCGAGTCGGAGCCCCGGTTACCCGTATTGGGCCCCATCTGTGGTAGTCTGAATCTTTGATAGCTACGGTGATTGGACAAACAGACCTATCGCGACATTACCTTAGCGACATCTCGTGAGCAAAAAATCGGTTACTTCATTACTTAAATCAGCCAGCTGAATTCAAAAGCAGTATTTTAAGCATTCTGAGTAAACCAGAAAATTTTAACACTGCAATACATTTTAGTGCTCTCCACAAAAACACACTTCATTCTCCTATTGTGCTGTTTCAATTTGCAGTCTCTTTATCTTAATTGGTAATATTTTCACCATCTCTTGGCATAAAGAAAATTCTTCTCGCATCATTGCAGCCGCATCCTCGCAGTTCGTACAAATATCAACCACTGCTTGATAGGAATCAAAACTCTTTTGTACATTCCTTAACTGTAATACCTTGTCTACGGCTACTCTCTTCATGCTATTCCTACCTATGAACGCGAGAGCACTGATGACAGGTCTTACTAGTTCTAACGCCAATTTCACAGGCATTTGACCATCTTTATCCTTGACAGAGTTCAAGAAATGGTCAAAGTTCTCAATACTCTTCTCGCAAAGATTGTTTATTTTCTTCAATGCATGAGGTGTCGGTTTATCTGTAGTCTTGTTTAATTTCTCAAGTTTGATATTAAGTATATCAGAGTAAACTTCACCGAGTTCATACCAGAGTTGCCTGCAGTATTGTAGGTAGTATACAGGATTGATTTCTTTTAGTAAGTCTTCTAGCATGTCAATTCTTCTCTTGTACATTTTGGCGCGTCTTTCGTCATCCTCTTCAAAGAAAGCGAGGTAACTGTATGACTGGGAGCTATCCTGTACCAGTTCTATATAATCGGAAGCTAAGGTATCAAGCTTGTAGTACTCCTTGGCTTTGTTCAGCCAAGTCTGACAGCTCAAGAAGACTTCTCTAGCATCTTGGTAAGTGAGGAGAAACTTATCTCCAACTTTGCTCTCATATTTGGAGACATCCAGATCTGTGAATACTAATTTCGTAATGTCACCTCCACAGATGTTTTCTTGGTCGTCCAATGTGAGATCAGACATATCTGTAATGTTGAGATATAATATTATTAATTAGTATTAAAATAATGTTGATTTACATAATAAAAGACAACAATAAAACAAGGTGGTTATGACCTGGTAGAGGCCGACTAACAAGGTACCAAGACATGATAATTATAAAATTAAATAAAATATTAAATGAACTACTGACAATATTAGCAATTACATATCTATAAAGGCATTAAAGGGAATCTCTGAAAATGCATAAAGTTGTGGGAAATTACATAAGTATTCAGTACAGAGAATAGAGAGGTATAATACCTGTCACATCTTCCGTCATTTGTTCAGAATCATTCATAAGCCTCGCTTTAGATGACGTCATGAGCAGAATGCAATATTTGGCCCAACAACGTGCCACATCGGCTGATCTATGCTTAAATGTTTCAATCTTTGCTAGAAACACCTCATCATTATTATCCGAGGAGCCCAATTTCTCTTCATACTGTTCTAGGATAGTAGAAGCAGCTGCCAAATGATGCCTGGACTGGAAGAACCCATTCTGCTCAGCGAAGAACTGTGATAAGGTGGCAGAGTTCAGTGCCCAATCTATCGGTTCATAATCATTGTACTGCAACTGCCTTCGCAATGTCACATGACAATATATAGCAGACTTTAAGTTTTCCCTCAAAGATCCAAAGACCTGTGCCAGGTAATACAGAGTTAGTGTGTGTGCTTTCTCAAGTAACATGAAATCTCCCATTGGACTCTCTCCTGTAGGGCTAACAATCTGTTCAATAGGCAGGGGCAACTGCAGAGTACATTTAAAATTCTCATACAACTCTTTTGCATGTATCAAGTATGTTTTCGCCTTATCAGGCGCATCTCTATTTGACCACAGTATACCCAAGTTATTATAAACATTTATAAGAGTGATTATTATTTCTGGTTTCGAGGAATTTGGAGATAGTAACTCAATTGCTTCTGATAAAACCTTTTCACTTGATGTCAGCTCTTCAGTTTCCATGTCAATGATACCAATGTTTAGTAACATAGTTCCTAACATAGCTTGGAGCTTCAAGTCATCCAAGCTGGTTGGATTATCAAGTAATTTCTTCAAACTGTCGCCCATAGAGACAAGTATTCCTTTAGCTTTGTACTTAGACATATAAGGCTCATTTTCCGGATCATTCTTGCTATCCTCGTCAAGCAGTTTTCGAATCTTACCATAATTTTCCTTAAAATCATTGAGAATCTCTTTTTCCGACATATCTGGGTTCGCACTCATTGTTTTATTTTGACTATAAAAATAATCAATATAACCTACAAACTGTTTCTTCTTAGATATTACGAATAGACATTAAAACATATTTTTCAGTACAGTGTATCTGGTAGGCACGTAAAAAATAATTTCCGTACAGAAAATATTCAATTTGATAATCTTTTCAAATTGGACAAAATATTTTTAACGTGAACAAGTGACGTTTATTAATACTCTGTCATCGTCATGTTTATTCTATGGAAAACTAGATAGTCTTTCAAATGAGGTAAAAAATTAAGTTTCTGAACGATGTAGTGCTATGCTGCCATCTATCTGGATTTGACGAGAATTACTAAGGAAAACTGAAATTCACAAATATTTTTCCTATCTTGTGTGCTACTTGCATTAGTCATTCGAATTCCCAATAAAATTAATATGCAAACTATAACTGGAACTGTATTCGACAAGATTTCCTTAAGTTTTTGTTTAAATTACTAAGGCCAGGCTTGCTACTTTAAGTCTTTATCATCACAGTACCTTCGCATAGGTGCATAAAGGGCATAAGGCATGTAAATAAAGTAACAAGTTATTTGCACTGTTTATTCTTATATCAATTACCACATAATTTTATACACCACCCACTTGAAGATGGGTACATACACAAACATTCATATCATTCAGCATAATTCCCTTATTCACAAACATGTAACATAATTTTACAGCTTTATTATTTACATTGTACTGTTTAAAATGTTAAAATACAAAAATGTCCTAAGTCAGTCCATAATATTATATTAGTGTTATAAAAACAAAACATGGATTAGTTTCATGAATAAGGAAAAGATACCCTTATGTCTAATAACAACATAGTTAAGTATGTTACAAACAGTGCTTTCTACGAATGGCCTATGCCAATAATACATATATTAGGAACCAGTTGGAGGTTCCGGATCCTCCATGGACAGGGCCCGTGGAGGTGGTGTGTGGGTGTTCAGCTGGGAAAACACCTCATTTTCACCTATAGCCAAGGGGTCAGGCTGTGTGGCTGGAGAGGGACCAAACTCCATCATTGGTGAGGGAGAGACTGGCCTCACTACACCAGCACCTGAAGCCTCCTGTTCTTCCAAAAATCTGTCCATGTAGTCTGTGTGTCCAGGGTGTAGAGTATACTTTTTCTTCTCCAATCGAGCTTTATTAGCAAATATATCATGTCGTTCTGTCTTTTTCCAAATATAATAAAATTGCACCAGTTCTCCAACTGACCGTGTCCGCACTTTATATTGTCTGATCAAATGGAAGTCCTTGCCATGGGCTTTAAGGCCATTTTCAAAATTGCGACATTCTTCTTCTGACCAAAGACTAGCATGAGCAGGAGTTTGGGCTGAAATGCGCCGCCGCCTCAATGCTTCCTCTACATTGTGACCACACTGTTGCAGTAGATATAGGGCTTCCTCATCATCTCGTAGTTGTCTCCCTCGAGGGACGGCATCTACACCTGTCCCAGAGTTCATTGCACAGATTTTCTTCATATAGTCCTCTGTAACTTTTTCTTCTAACATGCTTGGGTTCCACAACAACTTGTCCTCATTTTCATAAGGTAATGCGTCATCATAGCTGCATAAACCTTCAGGTATTGCAGCCTGGTAGTCACTACCTACCATTATAGTCTTCTTCCAGTCGTCCTCATCGGGACTGTAATCATAGTCATCTTCTTCTTCAGAAGGCGGTCTTGAGCCAGACCTAAGGCATCTTGTGGCTTCCGGACTAGTAGTCTCACTGTATAACTGCTGTAACGCTGACTCTGGTTTCTCAATTTCCTCAGGGACCACCTCAGGGGTCTGCTCAGGAGTGGGTTGCTTGTTATCCATAGTTTTATCGTATCCGTACAGTGCTAGTAATTCTTCCAATGGCATATCACCTTCACGCTGAAGGCTGTTAAGTTCGGCTTTAGGGTCTTGTTGCTCTCCTGCCGCCAAAGCTTCTTCTTCGTCTAATGTTCTTTCGTCATCAAAGTCATTTACCATCATTTCAACAGAGGGCTCAAATAGAGACTTGTCGTTCCCCACGTCCATACTCGCATCGTGTTCGCTTACATTGGACACCAGCACGCAATCTGACATGACTACCACGGTACCACACTATGGATATTGTATCACCAAAACATGATAAGCATTCAGTGTTATTATAAGTAATTTACGTAATTTAATATTAAAATAAATAGAAAACATTACAATTATGACATATTATGCGATTATATGCGAATTAAATGAAGAACAAAACAAAAATATTTTGACACGACAACCATAGGTTTCGTGAATGCACTTTATGATCTGTCATTTGTCAATGTCAAATTTTTTTTAGTTGCTATTGAAGCCTAGTCTTTTACTAACTTATCAAAAAAATCTACACATGAATTAAAACAATTAACAATACATATAAGCCTAAACTTAATAATACCTTTAGCCAAGTAGGTATATTCATCTATTGGAAATACTTGTTAGAGAATTTTCATCTTAGTTTTGACAGAAAATTAACATATCGTACCTCCGGTGCTATAACGTCACTTATGTATTGCGGAGGCCCACGCGCAACTGAACAATGAATGAAACATTTTTTCTTCTAGTGCCGTCCAGATTAGCGCCAAAACCGTAACGACAGTAATGCCCTCACAATGTCAGTTTGCTTACTACACAAATGACAATAAATAACGCACCAAGTATAGAGGTGAATTTGGAGTATTCTTTCATTACTTAAGGTTTGACAAAAATTGCATAAGTGACGATATTGCACCGTAGGTGCGATATTTTTAGAATTATAAGACTACGAAATTTAAGCAGTAAAAACAGTATGCAACAGTAACTTTATTTTACAAGGTATTCAATAATTTATTTACCGTATTTATATGTCGTATACAAGGCCTTTTCCCCAATTTGCCATTAAATCTTCAATCAATCATTCAGTCTGTAAAGCAGAAAAGTAAACCCATATGTATTCGTTACTATAAAAATGAATACTCGTTACTATCGTATCGTTACATTACTCAGTACATACATACATACATAACTTCACGCCTGTCTCCCATGGGGGTAGGCAGAGACTAAGGAACGCCAATTACTACGATTCTTACATACCTCTTTCGCTTCATTAACAGTCATCAATCTTTAATCATCATCAATTACTCAGTACTTTTAATAAATCAATATAATCCAACACCCCGAATGGAGTCGCGTGTTGTATCGTATTGTACGCGTGTAGAACTGCAAATGAACTATAGATAGGATTTCCTTAAACATACAAAAACTGGTCATACGTGTAATAATTATTTGTTCACAATAACATATCAAGGACGAAAATATTTTGTTCCTAAACTGAACTAAAACTTATTAAATAAATATATATTTTAAACAAATAAAATCCAATCCTTACTAAGAATATCGTACACACATATTAATATTATTAATCCATACTACAACCAAGGTCGTTGAAAAAAAGGTGGAAGTAAGTTCTTGAAACAACAACGACTATGGCACCTGGGTTTACTGCACAGACTACTTAGAGATAGAGTCCATTTTACGAAAGAAGTCCCGCGGACAATCGTGGAACTAAATTTGACAAATGGGGAGTTCAGCCATGTTGTCGTTTGTCGATGTTGTCAAGGTGGGTTTGTTGTGGTAGATATTTTGTGAGTTTATTATTAAATTAGTGCATTATAAGGTTTATTTACGATGCCAAAAGTTGTAAAAAGTGCAGGTCGAGAAATGATATTAAAATTGAAAGAGTTCTGTGAAGCGGAACAGAAGAATCGCGGCGTTTTAATACCATTAGACAATGTTCGCAAAAGAGTTGCCGCCATAACAGGTAAATTTTGGGGCTGCCATATTAAACATATTTTTTACCAATTAGACTTAAGTTTTTTTAATGATGAATTAACATAACACAACAAAAATTTGTAAAATTGTATTCAACAATAATATAATTAAATGCGGAAAAAGTCACTGTTAGATTTTTTTAATTGTTCATTTTATTGCAGGTGTGTCGGAGAGTCGTGTGTTATAAACAGACGGGTAGCGGTTAAAAACGTGGGCCAAGATCCAAAAGAAATTGTACGCCTAACAGAAGAGGCGTTCGAGACTGTTACCGCGGAAGATTGGGCAGTTCAATGCAAACATGTACAGCATTTGGAGGAAGAATATTTAAAAAATGATGGTCTTATGGATGAAGAAATGCATCGATTTATTATATCTACAGCTAGTGATAATGAAACAGAATCTAATTCTGTTTCTATTCACTCTTCTGACAGTGATCATAAGTATGACCGATCATAATTATTCAATAAAACTGTAATAAAACTTTTTAAATGTTATTTTATGTTTCTAATTTGATGTTGGTTGAACATCTTTATTTCCATTTTATATTTTAGAAATTACAGGAAGAGTAATTTTTCTCTAATCTGACCTTAGCAGTATAAACATAAATACTTATATAAAAAGACATATTTTTAAAATATTCCTCGAACTGTTCGAGTACGTACCTAGTTAATCAAACGAATGTCAATTTCTCCTGATTTCCCCATACTATATAAATTTAACCGTGGCAACATTATGTCGCGCGAATACAGCGCTGCGTCTGCGGGACTTCTTTCGTGAAATGGACTCTACTACGTATGTTTACTGGCTGACTGACCGCTGAAAACACACACTGACATGAAGGACAACTGTCACATACACTTCATACTAGTTCATACATTACGGGGTTGCAAGTACACCCACAGGGTATATAATTATATGTTCTGTGACCCACACTGCCCACACATAAATACACCACTGACATCTTGGTGCTTCAATCATTTCTAAGTGAAATTACATCTGCCTTTTTTACTTCCTTGATAAAATGCGAGCGACGAAATCGTGCGAGTAACGTTATAGTACTTTCGAGAGTAACGTTTCGTTTCGTTACTCGGTATTCGAAAGCGCATCCTTAACCAGGTCCAATGTTCGTTCTTTCCTTCGTTTCGTCAGTTCGTCACGTCATTCAATGCAATGTCAAACAAATGTCTGTCAAGTGAATGCGTTTCTTTTTCGATTAATTGTTATTTGTAATTTAAACCAAATTAAAATGTTGTTTGGTGGCTTTATAATATTTATAAAATAATTTGTGATTACTCCGCCTGAAACAATGACGATGTTGCGGATCCTATGTATATTTTTTGTAGCAATCGCCAAAGTAACGCACGGCTTT